GTCGCGCAAGTTTACGAAGCACTGAAAGTTGAACTTTTCGACTTCATCTTCTTAAAGGTTTTTCCTATCCCGACTGGACCGGACTCAATTGGCACTCCGACTTCGCCTCAATTGCTCTTATCTTCTACTCCCAGCGGGGAGTCGTAGCGAAATGACACAATACACTTTACTTCCATCGGCTCAAGGGGACATGGTGTTTTTCGCCCACACACCCGCTGTATTATGTATCTCTCTCTCTTTTCACATTTTCCATTGGTAGATCTTCGCTCTACTGACAGCAGAAACCTTGTCACAGGATCACAATTCGACGCTGGCCAGCGGCCCGGCCGGATTCAAAGGCGCAACGCCATCTCTGGAACCGGAATCTCTTGATCTTTCTGAAAAGGAAATGACCAACATCAACTCTGAATCCAACGCCTCGACAACCATCCCCAGTCAAGGTAGGACTGAGCTACTTTAACTTTGCTTGCATGTCCTCGTCTTTGAGACGACACTATTTTTACGCCCCCAGTCAAACTCAAACCTCAGTAACTCTTCAGTTCACCATTTTTAACGTGGACAGTCCAAAAAATGCCTTTCCCACTCGACAGTACCCTAAGCTCGAGGCCCGTGCTGGTTGCGCCTCCCTTCACTCTTGGGCCCCGACATTTTACAAGCTTTGGACAATAAGGCTCTAAAGCAGGTTTAAAATGAGCACGGACTCTCACACCAAAGCGTCAGTATTCTCTTCAGATACACACACACACACACACAATTAGCAAAAAATGGCGACTTTTGTACTGTGTCCTTCTGATTCCATTCCCAAACAGGCTGCTCACACATTTTGCAAGAAGTATCGACAGCCCAGATCGTGTAATGTGATGGCCTAAGATTCCCACACTCATACAAGAAAGCCGCACAATGCCAGTTAATTTCACTTGGCTTTGCCACTGAAAAGGTATTTTCATCTGAACCGGATTGAATTTCACTGTTAACATCGTCAAGAACCCATCATACACATTTAGCAGGAATCGGGGCCGTATAGTCAAGTGTTTTATTCTTGACAATATTGCCACATTCTCAGGGGCTCCAGTATTAAACAGGGCATGTTAGGCACAAATATTATTTAAAATTTAATATTTAGTGCAGATTATTTATATTTACTTTATTTTTCGAATTAATTATTGTTTTTCGTGACTACCAGTAAATCAGTAGTATGAGATGTATTCAGTCAATTTCGTTTAAGGTGATGAAGGACTGGTAGAAGAAGAATTTTCCCACAATGATAT